TAACTTTTCATTTTCTTGGTCAATTTTCACAAATCAAATTGCAGTTTATAGAAGCATTTAACAAGCTCGCGGTAAAAAAAAATCAAATGTGACAGACATTGAGAAGTACCCAAAATTAATAAAATAAAAACTAACACCATAAAACGAATGGTACGCATAGACTAATAATTGACGGCTGTACTCGCAACTAGTATCGGATTGTCGATGCCACAGTAAAGATCAAAGGACTGTACGCACGCGCTATGTTCGAGAGCGGAGATGTGCGTCCTTTTGTTAAATTACCTTGGTAACATACAGTAGGTCAGGACAACATAATGGTTAAGTTGGAAACGCTTTTACAGTTGGTCTTCGAACCTTAGCTGATGGTCATGTTAAACTAATAATGTACCATACTATCAAAACACTTGTAGGTGACATTACTAATGATTAATTAACCATCGCATACTACATTGTTTACATTCACCAAAACAATTTTGTTTTTATTTTCTCCTCCATCTGGATGTTTTGGGCAAAACTCATGTGCTAAAATAAAAGACAAAATTTGGTTTAAAAAAAAAAATTATTTTTACCCTCCTCTGACGATCTTTTAAAAAATAAGTTTTCCCACAAAAACAGCAGCATGAACGTACATAAACTTTTGTGTTTGTGAGACATTCAAGTATTCCTTGGCTCTGTCTGGATTTTCAGTAAGTTTGGCATTCAGGAAGTTCCATAGTATTTCCTTTCTTGAAAGCTGAACTGCAAACTAATTTTTTCACTTTGTAATGAGACAAAAGCGATGATATACAAACCTGCCAATTCTCACGTATCTTGCGGAAGTCTCATGCATTTAACTTCGACCTCACGCGAAGACTAATATTCTCGCGCATTCCAGAATTCCTTCAAATTATATTTTTTCAATGTGCTATTCTCTCAAAACAAGCATACAACACAACAATCAGCGTGAACGCCGCCTCAGCAGAAACTGAAGAAAACTAAATGGGATATCAAAGTGTCACTTTGTATCGGTGTATTCACTGTAAAGGTGTATGTTATATCGACGCTTGACTGTATTTTCCTTAAGGTTTTTTTTTTTCAAAAAATGCCCAATCTCAAGCAAATGCACAAGAAATCTCAAGCAAGCCAGTGTGAGACCCTTGACAGGTGTGGATATATACTTGTGCTAAATTTATTTGTGGTTGATGCATTAGAAAACAACATTGTATCATTACTAGAGCATCAAAAACCTATACAAAAATCGTTTGGGCTTTGTCCACAAGTCGCTGTAGCTGGACCCTGTTTTGTGCCACGTTCGCCCTAGACTCCCAGCCCAAGACCGTGCGCTCTCAATTTCCTATTTACATAACCCCTCCCCCATTTATTTGTCAGATGCAATCAAATATTATCCATGTATACTCCATGTTTTCCATTGCATATTGTAGGTCTTCGATCAATAACAAACAGATTGGACCGCCCTGTGCCAGGAATTGAAGACGTGTTTATCACCGTCTCTCTGGATGGTCCACTTATGTCTGAGAGCCTGCGACAAGAGTTGAACCCATTGGTTATTAAGATAGCGTCTGCAACGAATTTGCCTGACAAGCCGTTGTCCTACGAGCAGCTGGATGAGAAGTGTCTTCCGGTCTATTGCATGTACAAGTTTATGGGGGATCCGCCTCACATTACCAGTGGGAAGGAACATGGGAAAAATTCATATTGGGAAGACACTAACGTTGTTTTATTAGGTAAGTATTAAAGTGTGATGTTTTTTAGAGCCGGACACATACGATTCAATATAGAATGCAATGCGATAAGGCTTGCACAACAGATCATTTTTTTTACTGAAGATCTGCTCAGAGACAATTAACAGATGGTGTTGCATGGCTGACAGGGGAAATGGAAATGTCAGTTAAGACATAGTGTGCCTGGCTTTGATCCTCCTGTCAGCAATTAATAGTACTTTACCTAAGAGTCAGCTCTTTTTTTGGCATCGCAAAGGACATCACAAACATAGCACTTTCGTTTTGTTTCGTATCTTTCTTTATTCTAGATAGATCATTCAATTCACTGTACTTGCCTCACCATCAGGTCCATATTTGAAGCTTAAAGCCCAGCTCCGGAGGAAAAAAAAATGTTGATGTGTCAAACCACTGATTCAAAAAACATATTTGATGAAAAAACGGTTAATGAGATACAGATTTTCTAACATAACCACATTTTTTTTATAATAATTCACTTTATATAAACACGTAGACACTTGAATCACCCATGGGTGTTTTTCATCAAGGCCATGCAAGGCCATACATAAATAGAAAAGAAAAAAATTATTGGAAACAAAATGAACTAAAGAAAACAATATAAACATAATATCTTTACTGCCAGTGAAACTATTCCCCGCCGGACACCAACCCGGTATTTCTAAGTTTCAGGGATGACGATGGATAAAATCAAAAATTTTTATGAATACTTTGCTTTTCGAATTTGGAATTAACATGTTCAATTTTACTTCATATCTAAACATCAGCTATGAAAATTTTTTTTTTTCAAGCTTTGATTTAAAAAAAAAATCCTCGACGTAGTACTAAATTGAAAAGGGAAAATGGCTAAAAAACCAGAAAGCAGAAAGCACCTGTAAATCGTGTATTTAAATGAAAATAGAATACAAATTTAATATCTACCTATATAACTACCTACTCACCAGTCAGCATCATCTGCACCTAGCCTGAATATCATTCTGATTTGCCCAATCACACTTGTTATACCGGCCCTGGCCTGCCTAAACTATGGCCGCTTCCGACTGCTCCCTTTGTCACTTCCTCCTTTGTGTCGTATACAGTAAGATGTCAAAATTGACCGCTATCATAGTGACTTTGGCGACCCAAGTTCGGTTTATGTTCAGATATGAAGATGAGTTGGCCCAGGTCCCACATTGCATGACCTGAGCCGGCCTAAAGTCGGATTAAGTTTAGGTCGGCTTTGGGCGGGCTTAAAATTTATTGATTGTTCACACTTAAAAAAGGCGGGCCTAAGACGGCCCTGAGCCAACATAGCTATTAGTGTGACTGGGCTCTAATATGCCTATTTTAATAATATTTTTAGATTCTTAAATACTACTTCCTTTTATCTAAATGAATTTAAGTTTAAAATGTCTTTTGAAAACAAATAAATTCTAACAAATTAATTTAATTGTAATATACATTTAGCATAAGAAAAGAATTAATTATCTTAAAATATTTTTGCATTTCGTTTTTTTGGACTGACAGCCTCTATAATCTGCATAAATTCATCATTTTGCAACTGATTACACCAAACAGAAAGAATATATTAATAAATACCTGAAATCACACGTTTCCCCAAGTCATATCGGTGTCAAAGATATTTGAACTAATCAACCTTATATCACATTCATTACATATTTTGGAAATTAGTTAGGCAAAATCATATGAATGTGTATCATAATGATGAAGTTTGTTACCTGCAGGGAACAGCTGAGTTAATAAAACAATAATACTATTACATATACTGTATGATCTTTGTGACAGTGTATAGAAGAAATTTGTGGTATGTTCCACATACACAACACAATATTTTCATGCCACACTGCCTGGTAATAAACTTACACAAATAATATAATACTATAGTAGAACATATAATAATAATTATAATAATAATAAAGGCTTTAATTTAATAACAGTAAAAATATCAACTGGTGTGTATAAATTAAGTTTTTTAAAAATTGGATAATATTAATAAGCAATGGTACTGTAGAAACACTTCCAGAGATTTTTTTTTAGCTTGTTGGTTTTTTATGCCTTTTAAAAAAACATCTGACTATGAAAATTGACCCAGACATCCAATTATTGTGTTTGGGTACCACAACAAATATATCTATGAAGTAAAGTTGAACTTTAATAATGTGTGGCAAACAAGCTGAGTTAAAAAAATTCACATTCACTTCCAGGGACTAGAATTCACATACGACAAAATTCACATACGATAAGATTCACTCAGGGTGCCAAAAGACTCGAGTTCACGTCCACACATGTCAAACCATACCACTATTGTATTGCACATAAACTCGCCGGCAGTGGTTGCCAGAACACAACTCTCGTCATGAAGGTTTAAGGAAGAATCCGGAAGTAATAATCAAAAAATAAATACTGTATGTTTGTTTGTGTTTCATTACGAACATGTTATATCGTCATTGCGGACTTATAAAATCCGCATACGCCTTTAAAACTAAAAGAAAATGCATACGTTTAGAGTCCGTACTGAGCCCAAAAAATCCGCAATGAAAATATAACGTGTTTATGGTTGATGGGAAATAATTATTGGTGGCACCCTTTGCCATGGTGTATGGGAAAGAACTAGAAGAAGAAGGAATAACTTAAACATAATAAAATTGTTAAACATCTCAAATAATAGCTTGAAATGTCCCCAAACTGTTTCTCTTTGTCAGGGTAATTGGGAACCCCAATAGGTTTTGCCTCTGGACAATTGGCCTCAACTGGATTTGGCAAAAAATCTGTTAAACACTTCACTCCCATACTAATGTTTTGTCATCAGTTGCCAGAGTTTGTTAGCTTTAGTGGAAATGTGTGGTTAGGTTGACATACTATACCATGAGCGTCAACATTTTGGAATGACAAGCAGTGCAACACTTATTGTACATATTTCATTTTTAGTGCTGACATCAAAGGTTTAATCATTACATATCATTTATACACCAACACACATGAGCACATGAGAATTCCATGCAATCAAAAAATGTTGCAAACGTTACATAATTCTTCACCGTCTACTTCGATGGTATACAATCCTTGATGAACATGAGGTGTTGATTCTAATTTTTGAAAAGAAGGTAGCCCAAGAAATTACAGTTGTCAAGCGCCGAACATCGCAAACCACTTCCTTTCATTAGTTTGACCTGAATCTCATCGCCTTCCTCTAAACTTAGAATTATGTTCTTCGTTGACCCAGTTTTAACAATCTCAATTCCATTCTTTACAAGTGCAATATTTGGAAACTTGGTCCAAATACTGTATGTAGAGTCATGCTCTCCAGAGTTGAATGATAAGAAGTAATGACCAGATAAAGGGCAGGTAAAGATTCCGGTGTCTTCGTCAAAGCTGCTGTTGATGTTGGTGTAAAGATGAGAGTAGAGCAGATTGACATCTGTGGCAGCATTATGAATATACATTTCATATATTGCAACGCTGAATGCGATTCTATTAGTCTTCACTTCAGTGAGCATGTGCCCTTGCTCTCCCTTCTCTCCTTTCAGTCCTAGTTCACCCTTCTCTCCTCTCATACCAAATAAGCCATCTGTTCCCTTTTCTCCCTTTGACCCATTTTGACCAGGAGGCCCTCGAGGACCACTTTGACCTGTCATCCCATCATCTCCTTTCGCGCCAATTTTTCCTGGCCTTCCACGGTCACCTTTTGGACCAATGTCCCCTCTGACCCCTTTATCACCTTTCAACCCATCTCTTCCATGCACTCCCGGCACTCCTGGGAGGCCATCCCTCCCATGCACGACGTGGCAGCACTGATTACTTGATGTGTCATCTGACGGGGTAGTTTGGGCAAAGGTTGTTTCAAGAATTACCGCATATCCAACAATCAAGATTGCAATAAAATGCATTTTAGATTTCTGTTGAAACTGTAGATAAACAGACACAAGTTTTTGATTCATTTTGGTCTAGTTCAATATTGATGCTACATCATTTTTATTTAAAGGAAATTGAATCATGCAGCACTCCTAATAATCAGTAATTAGTTCAAAATTTTCTTTTTATCTTGGTGACGTAAAGGTGGTTTTTCCTTGACGAATTTAACTATGCAACATGATATTTTTTGCCACAAAAAAAAAAGAGTGAGCACTTTGCTATTTTCCACTACATGAGCGAAAATATTCTTGGGTATGCGTTTTTCATAAACATTGTTTCCGCATTGCCATTGATGTGTCAGTGTGCCAAAATGATGCATACATTCACGAGTTCAATTCTGTGCTCACAGGCACAATAACATTTTTTCTCAAGCTCTGATTGACTGCGCATTATTTCGCTTCCCAAAAAGTAAAAACTACAGTATTCAAACTCCAAAATTTGCAGAAGCAAACCAACACAAGCAAAAAGTGAACATTATGGTGAATTTAAAGGACTCTCATATAAAAATTTAACTGTAAAACCTCGAACTGAAGTTCTGGGCTTTTTTTGCTAACTTTAGATTTGTGTTTCTTTTCGAGATGGACTTCTTTTCGAGGCCACTTTTGCAATGTAAAGAGGGTTCTTTTCAAAATGAATGCTGTAAATTCATTCGTTTAAATAATTCACTTAGTGTTAAGTTTATAGAGGATTTACACTAATGATCCTCCTTTATTAGGAAGAGTAATTGTAGTTATTTAATAATGATAACGATGATGATGAGAATGCTGCTGATGATGATAATGATGATGATGATAATTCAAAAACTTGAACACCTACCTTCACTGCATGAAACTTTTTGTAAAACTTGGTTTATGGCAAGAGATCTTGGTGTGTGTGTCAAAGTTGGTCTGCTTTTTGTTCTAAGTTAGCTGACAATACATCATGAAACCATTTCCATTTGCTGTGGAGGAGAGAGAATGTTTATCATAATTCAAATTCATGATCAAGTTCAACTAAATCAAATTTGCCAATTTTTCATTGAAATTTCAACAGAAACATCCGAGGGTCAATGTTGTAAAGAAAAAAAACACATTTTCTTTTTAAATTTGTATAACTAGCTTTCCTTTCCTCTATTATCTAAAAATGTATTGTCCTCTCAAGATGACAAAAAATTATAAAAATTTCTTAAATTGACTCATTTTGCAGTAACTTACATATTATTTACTTGAGAATAGAAATTATTGAATTTAATAAAATATTTACCCTGAATCTTATATTTGATAATGATAAATAAAGATGTAAAAAAAAACTTAACAGAGTAAATGAGTCAAAACAGGACCCCCTGTTTTTTTCAAAATTGACTATATAATTTGAATGGTTTCATCTGATAATCTGGGGTGTGGGGTGATCGGATTAAAAAAAAAACTATATAATTTAAGCTTTATAATCATCTATATATTTTTACAACACCTTATCATTTAGTATAGGAAAAAGGCTATTAAAAAATAGTGTTTTTTGGTGTATTAAACTGCTTCTGCGTCACTGAACTTTGGGGTAAACGTTCAAACTCATAAAGTAAGCTTTTTTGTCATGTCTCATTCAGATAGATTAAGAAAACAGTGATCATTTTTGAATCCATGCAAAGCGTTGACGCCTGACACTGCAGTTCTTGTTCTTGTTACCAAAATTTTAATATAAATTATGATGCAATAGAGATAACCTCGAAACTGTTTTGTGGTAAATGCTATTACCGGTAATACTACATAAATATTGAATGTTAAAGAAGGGGAATCTGCGAGTGTTAAGAACAAAGAGTTACCCCCAACTAATTGGCCTATATATATATATCGGTTAAAAAAAACATGTTTAATTTCAATGATGTTTTGATTTTTGTTATGATTTGGAATGAGTAATAATCAATGATATAAAAAAAAAGTGATCCATTTAACTTGGTGTCCTTGGACAAGGCACATTACAGGGCCAGATCCAGAGATATCCAAAAGGGGGGGGGGCCCCGAAATTTGGGAGATCGAGACAACACTGAAATAGGAGGTCCGGGGGCATGCCCCGCTAATTTTCTGTGTTCTAGACACCCGAAAAAACATTTGAGGCATTCTGGTTTATCGTTTTTTTCTTTTTCTTTCTTTTTTTTTACCTCTCAAAAGGGGGTCCCCCCTAAATCCGCCTCTGCATTATATGCCATACATACCCAATTAGGTAAAGGCAAAATAACTTTGGTTCTTCTTTAATATAGGAAATTAGGGTCCAAGGGCTCCTGAGGCAGCTGCACTGTATCATCATCCCTGGGCATGGAGTTGTTCTTAGAATCGTTTAGAAAGACTTAAAGTCAGGCTCTGGTGAAAAAAAAATTTAGGCCTATGTTGTAGAACTAATTTTTTTTAAGAGGAAAGGGTGGTTACGCCCACTTTTTCCTCCTGTTTTTAAATATTAAAAAATCTGTATCAATAAAACTATTCCCAAGTCAAACATCCTGTTTTGTGTCTTAGAAAAACTGGAGGAAAACAAATATTTAACATGTTGTAGAACTGATTTCTTAAAAGAGAACTAGCAAAATGATTTTTTGTTCTAGAGGAGATTTTTGATATGCCATTAATAATAGAATCAACATTAAAATCGTTTTTTGGCAATTGTTTATGAAGTTATAGGCCACTTATATACGATTTTACTGTGACGTCACTGGCGAAAAAGTAATTTAAAAATTGTGTAAATAGCGCTGCGTAGGGTATTTGCTGCGTACGATCTTTACGCGTATGCTGTAACCATGATTGTTGTAACTTGCATATAGGCCTATAACTGCATCAGCGGTTGTCAACAGAAGAGTTACAGCTATGGTTACAGCATGCACGCAAAGATTGTACGCCACCACTTTTTGTGTCTTAGAAAAATCAGCTGGATTTAAAAATGTGCACAAGACCTTAAATTGGAAAACAAAGACTGTAACATGCACCAAAGCTTCTCAACATCTTCATTCCATAATATCAGAATAGAAAATACATATTATTTTGTTTTGAAATTTCAGGAAATCAGGAAACTGGAAAGCTGCGGGAATATTTGAATGGTCCTCCATTGCAGATTGAAGTTCACGACCGAGATAGGACAATTAAGGAAGCCAAACTCAGGCCTACTTTATTTGGGGAGGACATGGAAGATGATAAAATAGGGAATGTAGGAATGGTAACAGGTACAAAATAATAAACAATATTAAATATATTAAGACATTTTAAAGGATATATTTTCATTGTCAAAAATGTAAAATATGTGGCTTTGATAAATTGAATTGTGTTTGCATTAAAATCAATCTACTGTAACATTATTTTTATAAAGGTGATGATGTTTTTGTATAATTTAAAGGAAGTTTAGTTAAAGTATCAAGAAATGTTTGGAATTATATATTTTATACCTTATTCCTACGTATAAAGGCCAACTCAGACAGCGTCGCCCGACGCAGCCCGACCCGATTTATCGTCGAGGACAGTCTTAAGCCGTCGTGAGAAATATTAAACATGTTTAATATTCTACTACGCGACTGCCACCGACGCACACCATCGCGTCTGTGTTTAACTCACATAGGCCCGACACGACAAATCGCGTCGGGCTGCATCGTACGACGCTGTCTGAGTTGGTCTTAAGGCGATTCGCGTATGGCAAACCCCCTTGTTTCACTGTCAAAATTCTTACTTTTTGCTACTCTTTACAGTTTTGATGCGGCATGCAGCTGGCAAAAAACGGAGCCAAATCAAATAATTCCATTTTATGGGCTTTTAAATGTTCTATCATAAAAATCTTATTCCCCATGCATTTAGCATTGCATTCACTCATACTAACCGTTATGGTAGCTTCATTTAAGTAGTAAATTTGCTTGTTTATGGACAAACAGATGAACATGATTTAAAAATTAAAACAATTGTATGTGTTGCGCGTATATTAAGATAACCTTCTGTTTTTTATCGTAATTTGTTACTTTAAGCCTCGTCTGATACGCGAGAACATATGTGGCTAAGACAAGCCAAACCAGTCACTCGTCGCAAATCATGTCTCCAAGATAATGGCCAAAACATGCTGAAAAGTCAAAATTTTTGAAATCAATTTTATTGCACAACACTTACATTTATATAATTATCTATACATCATGATATGCTGTTATTTTTCCCGTTTTCAATGTTAAAACAAAAATTTGTAACAATTTGAAGATGGTTTCTGTTTGAAAAATGCTAAAAATCATCTTTGAAGGCTTATTTCTCAAATATTGTTCTTTAAACAGCTGTATGTTTAAACGCTTGTAACTTCATAGGGATATGTCGGATTTAAATGATTCTTTTACCATTTATAGCTCTCATTTACATCTTTAACCCTGTATTAATATACTAAAAATCAATTAACTTGTGCATAGAAATTATTGAATTTAAAAAATGTGTACCCTGATTTTTTAACCAACAAATTATAATAAAAATAATTAAACACTTCCAGTAACTGGAAGTGTTTCTATCATTTTTATTCTTATTCTTATTCTTTTATTTCCAATTAAAACAGACAAAACACATAAAATCAACTGG